AGAAAAAGTGGACATAATTTGTTTACTTTTACTATTTACGGTGACGTAATCACTTTAAGCCACCTTTCCTATTATGGCCCTAACCCACGCTTCAGCCCTAACCCGAACCAAAGCAGAATATACACGAGAAAGATGCTGCAGTCATGCGTCGAAGCGAACACGGCAGTGACAGGCAAGCGCATATAGGGGAACGGTTGAGGGTAAAAAATATGAATGACAAATGTTAAAAAAAAGTACGAAGGAAAACTAGCACTTAAAAAGGACAGCAAGAAAATAACATGGGGGGCAGCCGTAGTAAAGAAAAGGTTAGCTAAGAATTTGTCATACAGAGAATCAGACAAGAACTGTTTTATCCTATATTGCCATAGGTTTATTACATATAATAATAATTGTGTTTATTACATTTAATAATAGGAATGTTGTTTGTCGAGCTACTGACCAGTGTTTTGAACCATTCCGAACTTCACCAGCAAGTGGTCCTTGTCGGAGTTTTCTTCCGCCGAGTAGAACTCCTTCGTGGCTCCGGAGGTCAGGCCAAGGCAGGCGATATTCGCTCCAGTGTAGACTGGCACTACGTCGATGATGTTAATAAGCGTCTCGTTGGCCGAACCCGTGTCGTGCTTCGGAGTCTGGAATCGAGCGGCAGTCTAAACGACTACGATCGTTGCAACGCGACGCACCAGCGTTCGACACTGATACCGCGTACAGACTGCAAATTAAATACCACATAAAATTGGTCCGGGCCTGGCGCGCGACAAATTTTTACAGTGTGTACACGCTATCCCGCTCTAAATGCGCGCTCAGGCGCGCACCAATTTGGCCCCGCAAATGAAGGAGGGCCAGGCCCAGGATAACTTGGCCCGGACTAAGTTATCGATATCCTGCTCCAAGCTGTGTCTGTACACAACACGCGGGCCAAATCCGGTGCTATTTTGCAATAAGCATGACCTATTTAGGTCACATAAAAGTACAGCATCTGCCTGCGGGGTGACGCAGCGAGCTGAAATGAGCATGCACAGTCAACCCGTGACTCATTTGATGTAGGATCAAATTTGCAGTCTGTACGCTACGATTTGATGCGCGTTTGACCCGGACTAGTTTAATGTAGGATCAAATTGTACCATCTATACGGGGTATAACGTGATAGGTGCAGCTCTTATCCACTCAAAGACCGTTAATTGTTAGATAATATATATATGTTAGATATATACCACCATCATGGCTTGACGCTACTCACTAGGGCTAGGCCGGTGCATAGTTCATTCGAAAGTACTATATAAGCGAGTGTTCTAAATAAAATTATAAAATAAAAGTGTCAATGACACTGTAGCTCACCTTGGGTGTGATAGAAGAGGGAGGGGGATATATAAAGCAGGAGTATATATGGGAGAACTCCCATTATATAGCATATCTCCCATTATATACTCTAAGTCTTGATAATGATATATGCGTAATTTTTTATGCGAAAATAAATGTTTCAGATCGGAAATCTGGGCGAGAGATGGCGCAACACCTAAATGATGGGTGATACTCCATTAGGAGTGTTCCCAACTTTAATGTCATTAATGGTCATAATA